TGCGACGGTGCTGCTGAGCTTCTCGCTGAGCGCAGTGACTGCGCCGCTGCTGGGGATTCTGCTGGGGGGGCTGCTGGTGGACTTGTGGGGCGGCTACGGAGAAGTGCAGCAGCAGCTGCTGTGTCTGTGTCTGCTGTCGAGTTTAGCTGCTGGCTGCGTGCTGTGCGGCTCCGTTGCTGCAGCAGCAAAGTCGTTTGCTGCAGCGCTGGCAGCAATTTGGGCCGTTCTCTTTCTGGGCGGGGGCATCCTGCCCCCCGCCACGGGCCTTGTTCTTGCTGCAGCACCAGCAGCAAAACGCCCAGATGCTTCTGCTGCTGCTCTTTTCCTCTACACTCTCTTCGGCTACATGCTCGGCTCTTTCCTCCCCGGAGTCCTCAACGACCTCCTGGGACTCGCAGCAGGAATGAAGGTTCACTCCTGCTGCTGCTGCTGCTGCTGCTGCTGCTGCTTATTATTATTATTGTATTTATCATTATTATTATTGTCATTACTATTGTCGTTTTTATTATCGTCATTATGCTGCTGCTGCTGCTGCTGAGGATGATGATGTTCGTGCTGCTGTGGATGTTTATCATGCTGCTGCTGCAGCGGCTGCTGTTGCTGTCTATGGTGCTGTGGCTGTTGATCATGCTGCTGCTGATGTTCATGCTGATGCGCAGGCTCGTACTCGTGCTGCTGCTGCTCGTGCTCGTGCTGCTGCTGATGCACGTGCTGCTGCTGCTGCTGTTCGTGCTGCTGCGCATGCTCATGCTGCTGCTGCTGTTCGTGCCGACGCTCATGCTGCTGCTGCTGCTGCTGATGCTCATGCTGCTGCTGTTCGTGCCGATGCTCATGTTGCTCCTGCTGGTGCTCGTGCTGCATCTCATGTCACCTCTCCTGCTGCTGCGGCTCCTGCTGCTGCTGCTGCTTGTGGCACAGGTATCTTTGCTGTGGTCTGTCTTTGGACTCTTGGCATTCGTTGCTGCTACAATTGTTTCGTGGAAGCAGCAAAAGAAGCATCCAGCAGCAGCAGAAGCAGCAGCAGCAGCAGGGCCATCCGAGGTACCCTGCAGGGGCCCCCTAGGGAAGCTCTTAAGAAAATTCAGAGGGAGGCCCCCCAAAGAGGCCCAGCAGCAAAACCCTGGGGGGCCCCCCGAAGGGCCCCTTGAGGGGCCCCCTAGGGACCCTCTACAGGAACCTGCAGGGGGCCCCTTGCTCCCATGAGGGGCCCCTTAGGGCCCCCTTGGGGGCCTCTTAGGGCCCCCTTGGGGGCCTCTTAGGGCCCCCTTGGGGGCCCCTTAGGGCCCCCTTGGGGGCCCCTTGGGGATCCCTTTTCAAGGGAGTTCCTGAGGGGCCTGTTAGTGGAAATTGCTAAAGGAGGGCCCCAAGAGGGGCCCCCGTAGAGGGGCCCCCTAAGAGGGGCCCCTAGAGGGGTTCATTAAGAGGACCCATATGAAGTTGGGCCCTACGGGGAATCTTCAGAGGGGCCCCAAAGGGGCCCCCTGGTGTCCCTTAAAGGGGCCCCAGAAGGGCCCTTTAGAGGGGCCCCCTTAGAGAAAACTTCTAAGTCTTTGAGGGTCTCCGTAGAGGGCCCCTAGAGGGGCCCCTTAGAGGGGCCCCTTATCCGAGGGGCCCCTCTAGGGGCCCCTCTAAGGCGCCCCTAGAGGGGCCCCTTATAGGGGCCCCTTGGAAAACCCCTCT